GGAACTTTTTACTTTGACTTTTTTTTACTTTTTTATTTTATTTTTTAGAATAAGCATGCTGCTAACAGATTTTAAATTTATCTACTTGTGACTGAAATAGAAATTAATTTTTGATTTTTCAAAATATCTTTAGCTGAAAGAAAATTATTTGCATGAAACCAGTGAGCAATTTTAAACTGAGTGATGCTCACCTGCGTTCTCTCAATCTCAACACAACTTTATAGATAGCAGAAACGTCATAAACATGTTGAGCAGTAGGTATAGTTGTTACTATACTGTTTACAACAAAGACACTGAACATATTTCTATTTGAAATGAGGGTATTGACATAGTTAAGGAGTGGTATTTAACTCTGACCTGCCTTCAGGTAAACACTTCAGAGTTCTGGAAAGAAAAACAACCTGCTTGACTTAATTACATTCCCTGCAAGTCTCAGCAAGAACAATGTCTGTGTGCAGAGAACATTAAATCCCTTCTATGTATTCACACTAATTGTATATATTACATTACTATCAGACTTTAAATGTTACAACTCACATCTCCTGAATATGTACACACCTTCATAGTGTTAATTCAACAGGATTCATGTAGTCCTGTAGTCACCCCGTTATTAAATATTTTTTATTTAGATTTTTTTCTGTTTTCTGTAATTTATTTTTTTAAAAAGTGAAAGTGACTTTCTTTTGAAAACTGTTTATATTTACTCACCAATGCCCTTTGACTTGGGGGCAATCTTCTCAATGTCTTTAAGCTGAAACACGTCCTTCTAAAAGAGCAAAAAAACATGTTTAAGAACTTCTTACTGGTTATATGCAGGAGGAAGAAGACCATTTAACTTCTGTCTACATGAGGATCAGTTTATATTTAGGTTTTATGGATGTTATTACAGGAATATGGACAATAATTTTTTTTGCAACATTAATCCCCAGGTTGCTGGGTATGTTTCCTGTAACCATGCAATTAAAATGCTTTAAGGAAATTTAACTGTGGCTCTAAAAAAAAGATTGAAATTTGTTAGACTAAACTATCACTCACATAATTTAAGCGTTTTACATTAAAATAGAATACAGATAATTCTAAAAATATTTTGGAGATATTCCAGTTTGTTAAAATAGAATTTACAATGTCAACAAAAAGTATTCACTCCCTTGGATGGGCTTTTTTGACAAAGAAAAATACAAAAAAAACCCCTGTAACATCAAAGTGAAAAGCAATTCCCATAAAATAACGACAGGTAAAAAATATTAACATCCATCCAGTTTCTAACACCCTTGTCCACAGCGGGGTCAGGAGCGGTGGTGGTGCCTATCTCTAGTGAACATTTCGGGCTAGAGGTAGGGTCACCCTGGACAGGTCGCCAGTCTGTCGCAGGGCAACACAGAGACAGACAGGACACACAACCATGCACACACACACACTCACACCTACGGACAATTTAGAGAAACCAATTAACCTGACAGTCATGTCTTTGGACTGTGAGAGGAAGCCGGAGAGAACCCACACACACAGGGAGAACATGCAAACTCCATGCAGAAAGACCCCGGACCAGGAATCAAACCCAGAACCTTCTTGCTGCAAAGCAGCAATGCTACCAACGGCGCCACTGTGCCGCCCAATATTTTACATATTCACATAATTTGAAATCCAGCCAATTGGTGATAAGTCATCTCAAAATGAGTAGAATGGGGATTATTGAAGTAAGTGAAGTGATTGTAGTTTAAAAACTACTCACTGGTTCATCAATATGTCATTATAGCATGAAGGCTAAAGAACACTCCTAGAAAAGGCTAGTGAAAAAACCTCTAATGCAATAAACATCCCCCAGAATTCAGGTAAATCCATCATCAAGAAAAGTAATGAATATGGTTCATGTGTAAATCTATATGTAAATTATTTCTGCTTGTCCTTACTTTTGTAGAAATCAGTTTTCACTTGAGGGATTTTTTTGTAAATGTTTTTATCCAAAATGTTGTTGATCATGAGTGATTTGTAAACAATAAAAGAATAAACATCCAAGGAGCTGAATACATTTTTAGAGGCACTGTACATAAACATTACAAGACGGAGTCAAAAACAAATTTAATTAAGGTCTTAATTTTTTTTATATAGTTATAGTTTTTTTCTAAAATCAAAATCTAAATTTTGAAGGGGTAAAGGCCAATTCAAACATATTTAATCCACCATAGATTAGTAATGTTGAACAAAAATAAACCTGTGAGGAAATAAAATGAAGAGGCAAGATGATTCTCTGCTGAGGAAAAATCTTTGGATTCCCTAAAATGAGTTGAGCTGAAAAAAATGCAGGGCTTCCCTGCCCCCAACCAGGCTAGCCATTGTGTGTTTTTGTTTAGTTTTTTTAAAATAATTTTTAATTTTTTTAATAAGCCAGATTGCAAGCGTCTCTTCTGTGGTGAGCATTTCACTGGCGGGGCAAAATTACTCCTGAAATAAAGATGGGTTTATAGTTTTTAATAGTTTATTCATTGACAGGAAGCGTGCACCAATCAGACAGCTGGCACCTCTGTGTGTTAGCCGCTTAGCTTAGCGTGCGTTGTCGTGGCTTGATCTCTGAATAGGGTTGCCACCCGTCCCTTAAAATATGGAATTGTCCCGTATTTGGCTGTTAAATGTTGCATCCCATATTGAACCGATATGGGACATAATTTGTTCCGTATTTTTATAAATGTCCGATAGACGCGTGTTAAGAAAATACATTTAAAATATGCTAGTTTTAAAACTTAGCAACATGTCTTGATTGAAACAGCCTAATTATAGTTTTCACATTAATAACTTATTCTGCCCTATTGACCTTTATGTTACCTGTAGTTACAGCAGATTGTTTGCTACGATTTTCTGATCTGCCCTTTGTCTGTGTGGAAAACAATCAGGAGAAGTTCCAGCTTCACACTGATCTGTGAAAAGCCATAAAACAGCAGGAGTTCAGGCCAGTGGAGGAGAAGCTCTGCTTCCACTTTGTTTAGATAAAGGTGACAACTGGTGTTAGATCTTGAAAACAAATTGTAGGGAGTTTCTAACTTTAAAGAGGGTCAGAGACAGCTTCTGGTTGGATGAGCAAAGATACGCCTTATTTGAATAAATTAAATACGCCTTTACTATAAAAGTTTGTAAACAAGAGTAACAAATCAGATTTTGCTCTTTGCAATTTCTTCAAAGACGTCTTTGCTTTTTGTTTGTCGTTTCCATCTTTTGTCTTTTTCCCTCTCAGGTAAATTCATGTGTTGTTTGAGCTCCGAGTTTTCTGATGTTTTGTGATGTGTTTTTCTGGTGATCATATGAATCTGTCTTGGATAAATGCTGATTATTGTGACGCTGTTATCTCTGTGTGATCTCAGTCTTTGCGCATAGCATTTTCTGAATCCGGGCATAAGAGAGGATATAACGGGTCAAAAGGTTTTAAAAAGGGTTAATAAGTTTTACAATTTTTCTTTTCTTAATATACGCTTATCACACACATAGTTACTAAGTGTAACAATAATGACCAAAATAAAACAGGAAATATTAAGGTCAGCAAATTCTCGTTGCAGGAGCTAAAGGACCCCTGAACGCTACGGACCGACGCTGTTGTCACGGTTGCCTAGAGACGGAGCCGAAGTGAGCTGCAATCAACCTCGATCTTTTTAAAACATCCTCGACCCGATACTGCACCGTCCTTAGAAGTAAAACCTCTCGTAAGAATACAGACGTGAGAAGGAAGACGCAAATCCCAGGCTGAATAATGTTAGTGAGGATGAACAGAGGCAATTAAAAAAAATAATAAAATGTGTCCATATTGGCGCCGGGTGCTGTATGATACTAGACAGAAAGGATCAGGAGAGGAACACAGCAGACCCTGATATGGTAACATTTTGCTAAGATTAAGTTTCTTATTGTGCTTTTAGTAGACTATATTGGTTTGACTATTTGCTTATTTAATTTAATTTAATTTAATTAATTATTTAAGCCAAAATAATACAGATGATCATTTAAATAACAAATCATACATTAACAGTAAATACATAAATATTTCCTACTTCAAAAAATTTGTTAGGGCTTTCTGTATGTTTTATTTTGAAATGTTGATATATTTCATGAATTCATTGTTCAGTGGTCATTTATGCACCAGACACAGACCTGCAGCCCAGAGGCGGTTCTAGACAGGGGCCAACGGGTTACCAAAGAAGTTATACTAAATAAATGTCTTATGTTAATACTCAGTGGTGGATTTTTTTTAACCTTCACAATTTTACTTTAACAATGAATTAAAATGTATAGTGCTGCACTTTTAGCTGCAGTATGGAGATAGGATCACACTTTCCATCTGCAATCTGAATCTCTGGAGACGCAAGTGGGTCTTTGGCTTACTTATTATATCAAATTATGAAATATTGCTCTGTTTTTTTTTTGTTTGTTTGTTTGTTTGTTTCGTTCTTTTTCAAGGGTTGCCATGGC